AGCAGAGACATTCAGAAGAGACCAGCCAATATATCCAGGAGAGATAATGTGACAGAGAGAGGGGATAAGATTTCCAGCAGAGTGGAGAACTGCTTGATGACATCACCAGATGACATTGGGTTTTGTAGCCTCAGAGAAGTGAGTTCCCAGGTTACATCCCCTGGCTACCCATGTCCATATCTGTATATTCTCTAGGCATGCACCTAAGGCGTATAAGTTCTTGTCATGTTCCCTTTCACACATATTCCTCGGTGAAAGGTATCCCACATATATGCCCTTCAAATGTGTTCCCTTGCCACCATTGTTCTCTGCATGTATTCACTCTCCCCTCTGGTGATATAGTAACCAATGAAAGGGTGTATGTCCTGGGTGCCTGTAGTGTGTTTATCTTTTCTTGTTACTTTATGTGCTATGATGCTCAATAAATGTATTTTGAGCTAATGTGTTTTCTGGCTAGCTGGTAAAAGTAAACAAACTGGTGGAGGCTCAGGACCTATGGTTTTCAATGCATGCATATGCACCAAGTTTAGAACCTAGGGTAGATTTTCTAGGGGTCCACATGTAAGGGAGTGTTCTAAGTGCTTCATGGAAAATGTATGGAAATATGGAAAGACAAATGAAATGACATAAGGTGAGGTCAACAGAACCACAACAAAATCTGCTTCAACCATACATATGAAAAACAAAGCTGACTTCCTTAGGAGGCCAGACTCTTGGGATTGAGTGTCCAGGTGTTTGTGCCTGGCTACGGAAAAATCAGGCATAGTATGTTCTCCCCAGGTTCCCCATAAATATAAGCCCCACATCCCAGAGCATAACCATACTTTCTTACTCACCTTTCTTTCCAAGAAGAGATTTTTGTCTTTTCTCTCCTTTTCCTCAAACATGTGTTCCTACACTTCCCTTCTTTTATTACACTGCCTCTTCCACTCACCCTAGTTCCATTTCCTTTTGCAACACAATGACAATTTTTTAGCAAGTCTCAATAGAGCCAATTAGTGGCTTGGGTTCCCTAGGCAGGGGGGCCCCTGGCTTGTGAAAATTAATTTGAAATGCATTTCTCTCCCTCTAACCTTCTTTCTCCAGCAACATTCACCAGCCAGGCTGGAAAATATTTAGCCAGAAATGCTTATTCATATTCTGTTTAGTATCGCAAAACATGTTCAAGGAGAAAGTTGTCTTTACTTGAAACTTGCTGAGCTTAAAGCTTCCAGACAGAAGCTAGTTTTTCATGAACAGAAGAATAAATAGAGCAAGGTTAATAAAAAGAGAGAGAGAGAAGAGGAGATTGGCTCAAGGCATAATGGGAGGAAAGGAGAACATGGAAGTCTGCCCATAGGAAGAGTCGTAGAATTGTAAATTTCAAAGCTGAAAGGGACATCAGAGGCTATTGAGTCTAACATATCCTAACAGGAATCCCCTTTACATCATAAGCAACAGCTGGTCATTCAGGCTTTGCTTGAAGCCCTCTGGGGAGGGGTTTAAAACCTACCACCTCTTGGTGAACTTGAAAAGTTATCTTAGTATATTTTCTCTTACATAAATGTTTTTATTTGCAGTTTCTACCTCTTTGCTGCCCTCTCTGGCCAACCAGAGCAGATCTCATCCCTCTTTCACCTGAAAGTTCTTCAAATGCTTTAGGACAGTCTCTCCTCTAGGCTAATTATGATTAGCTCCTTCATGTGGCCTCAACTCGGGATGCTTGCCCATCCTTTTTACCTTTCTCTGGACAGTCTTCATTAATGTCCTTCCTAAAATGTGGCGCCCAGAACTGAACACACTCCTTTGGTATTGTCTGACCAGGACAGAGTACAGGGTCCTTCTCACCTCCCTAGTCTTAGACTTTACAAATATGTGAATGTTGCCTAATTTTGCTTTAGCTTTCTGGGCTGATTACATCATACTGCTTACTTATATCAAACTTCTATCCGACTGCCTCCTCCCTCCCAATATCTTTTTAGACAAAATGTAGTTTAGCCATGCCTGCTTGAGCTTGAATTTATCAAGTTGATGGGGGGGGTCAAAAGTCTAAGATTTTACGTTTATACCTATTAAATGTAATTTTTACAAGATAAGACCTAATGTTCTAGATTTTTCTAGACTGTCAAGATCTTTGTGGACCTCCAACTTGTCAACCAACAGGCTATTTAACCCTTCCAACTTTGTGTTATCTGCAAGTATTATATGTAAGCATGTCACTTATGGCCTTTACACAAGTAATTGATAAAAATACATTAACTAGGGTAGGGTTAGCAAGAGATGCCAAGGAGCCTCCACTGGAGACCCTTCACACTGACACGGAACCATTAACAATGACTTTTTGACCCTGGCCATTTCACTGGTTGTGAATCCACCTAACTGAGTAATCACCCAGCTCTTATCTCTATCCTCTTTGTTCACAAGAATAACAAATAGCTTGAGAGACTGGCAAATAGATTGCTACAATATAGATAAACTAAATTAATAGCATTCTCCTGATTTACAAATCTATCAACATTTTCACAAAAGATGTTTTTTAAAAATATTTTTAAATGTTTCCTTTTATAAAAAAGGAAATGAGGTGAGTTTTCATGCTTGCTTGCTGGATGTTTTTGGTAGAGGAGTATAAAACATCAAGTCACTGAAGTCTTTGCACCATTTGTGATGACCACTGTTCTGTACCACTATGAAAGTCATATCTGTTCATAAGTTTTCTTTTGCATTTCGTCAGGCCCATAATGGATAGAGAGAGTCTCATTTCTCCATTTTGGGTGAATGCTAGGTAGATTCACCAGCCAGCATGTGCTAGCAATCACATTAGGCGTTGTGCAATGACTGGCATTGAGTAAATATTATCTATCTATGTATATGCTATTACAACACAGATATTGGTTTTGCTTCTTCGCCAAACATATTTTGAAGCTCCATCAGAACAAGAAAGATTCCTGTTTCTGGTAGCCAATACTAATTAAGCACCCAGATGGCTCCAAACTCCAGACAATTGATTAACCATAATTAACTCTCCTCTTGTCTTTTGGTTTCCTGTATAAATCTTTTGTATTATTTGCTTTTTTCTCTCTTTCCTAACTGAAGAAGCTGGAAACATCTTATTCTAGGGGACACTCTTTTAAATCCAACCAGATGAAGAGGGTGTGAACACACTGAGGGCCAGAAGCCATTCTCATCTTTCTCTTTTTCTTTTGGTATCCCAAGTACCTAAAACAATGTTTGTTACTTTGATGAGAAGGAGTGTTTAGAGTGATAGTTTCACCAGAGTGAGAAGTCTCTGTCTGTCACAATAGATAAGGAAATTGTAGTCTTAGAGAATTGTCTAGACCATTCTAGAGGGCATTGAGAGATTAAATGATGTGTCTACAGCCACAAGCCAGTCTACGTCAGAGGCATGGCTTGACTCCAAGGTTGGCCTCTATCCACTGTGCCAAGCTGGCTCTACCTGGAGCACAGTAGGTACTTTATGTTTCTTGAATTAAAATCAATTTAAATTGAAGATGATTAACATGTATGATTACTCCTCTAGCCCCTCTGAGATTAAGGATAAATTGCATTATATGCAGAAGATCTGTGATTTGGATAGGATTGTGCTTTCATTTGGGGGAAAATTCTATGGATATCTGGGAATGGGGACCTCCCCAAGATGAGGCAGAGCTGTAGGTGACTTAGTATTATTATAAGTCCTAGGGTGTTGCTTGAGGCACCTGAAGGTTAAGTGACCCATCCAGGTTACATAACTAGTAAGAAATGAAGAAATGATCCTTCTGATACTAAGCCTAAAGTGGTATCCACTATGCAATATTATCTTCCACAGTCCAAATGAAGGCATTATTTACCTTCTGCAATTCTCTGAGCCCATCCATTTGGGAATCTCTTGTCTCGTTCTATATTTACCAGAGCAGGGATAGGGACTTTGTAGTTTAGGGTTCCTCCCCACCCCCTCACCAACTCAGAAACTTGGAAAGCTCCCTGGGAATGCCCATTTGTCATGAAATACTGGCAGCTCATTCTGTAGATCCAAATAAGGTGGGGTCATGATGAAGGCTCAGTGGGGAACGTCAAGGCTTTCAGTAGAAAGGGGGATGGCTGAAGGAACGTCAGTATAGCTCAGTCATATTTCCCATCATGTCTAAGATGCTAGGAAATTCCATGGGATCCATTCCAGGGAAAATGGAGGGGAACTGATGACAATAACTAGACCGGGCCATGAATAGGAAAGAGATGATCTTCTGAAGCTTGAGTACCTGGGTGTCTTGCACTTCTAATCATCCCCAAGGCTATTTCCTGTTTCTGAGTTAGATCTCTCCTCTAAACCAGGCAAGGTTGCTGTCTGTAGACAGGCAGGTTGATGGAAGGATGATTGAATTTGGCTGAAGAACATCAGGGAAGGAGTGGGTGAGCGAGTTCCTGCTTGGTCATAGGATCTTTTTGCAAATCAAATCCCAACCCTATCAGAGATGCTTCCTTCTTTACTCTGGATTGTAAAATTAGAGTCAGAGAGAGCCTAGTTAACAACAAAGCATCCTTAGGACAACCTTGATGTTCCATGATCCAGGATACGTGCTATTTGATACAGGGAAAATACCTTTTCCTCGCTAAAATCCCATTTTATATGATGGGGGGAGCACTCAGGAACTCTTGTTTCATTAACTCTTTGGGCTGAGAAGGCATTGTAAATAAGGTATGTATGTATAAATTGAGTCTCATTTAAAACATATCAGGAGAGTTTCATGTGTCAAGGAGCCTGGTGGTGAATCACAAAATGAAGAATTCTTCTCTAAAGTACAGAATCTCCGCCTTCCCACTCTTTATCTCACCCTCCCATTGGTGTCAGTCCAGATTTTTATGTGTAGAATTTCCCTCTCCAAGCAGCACTTGCTGCATAACCTCCACATAGGAAACTCTGACTCAAGAGCCGTCCCTTTCCACCCCTTCATTCCCATCCCCTCCTCCCACGGCGGGACAGTGCCTGTAAATGTATTTCTCTCCAGAAGGCAAGAGCTACTCACTGTTTCTTGAGGAAGCTCCAGAGGTCTTACTTCTTCCAGTGAGGGCACGGAAAGGCCCTCGTCCACCAAGCCTGGTTTGGGCTCGGGCCCTGACTCCAGCTCTGTCACTAGCTCTAGCTCAGGCTCTGACCTTGGCTCTGGCCCCTGCTCTGGCTCAGCCTCTGGCTCTGAGCTTGCAAGATCCTTGGACCACGATTCACGGATGGTGCCAAGTTCTGCATCTAGGAGTGCAGGGTTCAGGACTGGAACGTCCGTGCAATTGCTGGGAGTCATAAAGTTGTCTGGCCTCTAGGAAATAAAGACAAGATAAGATTTAGGAGGAGGAACACTTCTGATTTTTGACTGGATGGGCTGCACAAAGGGTCAATAGATGGTTCAAAGCATCACAGTAAAGTGAAAAGAGCACAGGAATTAGAGTCAGCTCTGGCTTTAAGTGCAGGCTTAGTTTCTTGCTCTACTTACTTCACAGAGTACTTTTGAAGACAATGCTTTGTGAATTGTAAAGCACTACAGGTATAGTAGTTATTGTTCTTGTGCCCAGAATATAGTAGGTAATAAGTGCTTGTGTAAGGGGAGTGGTCCTTGACAATTCACTTGTCTAGGACATAAATCTAATCCAGGATTCCAAAAAAGTAATGGCTAAATTAAGTCAGCCTCAGTATTCGGAGGCAGTAGTTTCTTATTTGCCTATTATAGAACTTTGGAGTGAAAATAGTACAAAAACTTTAAACTCTAAGGGGATAGGGAGTTGGGAAGAGGATAAAGGAGGGATCTTTAGAGGGGAGGGTGTGGGAATAGGTTAAAAGGGGGATATTGGAGGGGGTTTAGATTTACAGGAATGGGAGAATAAAGGAGGGATTGCAGGAGCGGGAGCAGGTTAAGTAATAGGAGGGTAAGGTAGCAGGTAGAAGTAAAGTAGAAAATTTAGGAGAGATAGGAAAAATAAAGGAATATGCACAATCATAAAAGCAAAGATTAGGAGTAGAATCTCTTAGGCAAAGTATATGTATATGTATGTATGTATGTGTATATATGTACAAGTGTATGTATATATATATATATTAATAGCTATATATAAATATATCCAATGTTCAACTGGAGTGGTGGGTGGGGGGAGGGAAGTGGAGGGGGTGGGGAAAAGAACAAAGTAAAAAGTATACAGCAGAGAACAAAAGAAAACCTGCAAGGAAGCAAAGAAAAGATGGACAGCTTTCAATACAATGAACAGTATTTAATATATAGGCTTTCTTGAAATGAAAGGTTATCCCTATATAATTTGAATCCTCTCCTATGTTCTGCTATGCACATTTTTCTGTTTTTTCTGATTTTATATTTAAGTTTACAATGTTTCTTTTTCTTTTCTTATTATGCATTTAAGTTTTAGCATTTGTCTAAAATAAAAAAAAGAAAATAGAACCAAGTCTGCTTCAATATTTTGTTTCAAAGATTTATTTACATTTGAAAAGTTAGAGAACTTTGAAGTTAATAACTAGGAAAATAACACAGGACTGTTTTATGATTATGGAACACATGGGGACAGCTAGGTGGCTCAATGGATAGAGTGCTGGGCTTGGAGTCAGGAATATCTGAGTTCAAATCTGGCCTCAGACACTTCCTAGATGTGTGACCTTGGGCAAGTCACTTAACCCTGTTTGCCTCAGTTTCCTCATCTGTAAAATGAGCTGGAAAAGGAAACGGCAAACCACTCCAGTATTTTGCCAAGAAACTCTAAATGGGGCCATGAAGAGTCAGATACTCCTGAAATGACTGAACAAGTACTTTACCTGATTGCGGCTCAGTTACCAAAGAAGAAAAAATTGTTTCTAATAATAAAATCTCTCTCAAAAAGAGAACTCAGCTAATTCTCCAGGAAGATATTGAAATCACAACTCTCTCTCTGCACTGTCATTTGTTATCAGGCTGATTTTGTCGGTCAAAGAAAGATTGAAGTTCTTTCTATTGTTTCTGAGGAGAAAATAAGTTTTTATTTCTATTTCTACCTAAGAAAAAGGAAAAGAAAGAGGAGGAGGAGGAGGAGAGATACTTCTTTAAATGGCTAAATATTGTTGCTGAAAGGTCACAAAGAATTCTGTCAAAGGATAAGAGTCAGAGAAATTTCTGCCAAATGAAGTACTGGCTTTTCCTGGAAAAGCATATTATTTTATTATTATATTATATTACTCATATTATAGTATAGCATAGTATATAATAATATAATATACAAAGACATTATATTTAATTACATTAATTATTATATTACACGAATATATTATTATATATTACAATATATTATTATTTTAAAGGGAGGAACATGTACATCTGAAGCTGGAAATGTCAATCACTACAGTTTCTATTGATAAGCAAGCCCTTCTAGAGGAACAGCTTAGATAAGGAGCCTTAAAGAAGCAATCCATCAGGTCAATTTCTTTAGCTCAGATGTCACGTCCAGTGAGGTGTTAGTCCAATGCAATGTGGATCATCTCTCCTTATTGGTGCAAACATTTGTTTGCACATGAGTTATGATCATTAAGGAACTTTTATGGACAGTTCCTGAGACCTCACTTGCTCCACTAGTGGCCCCGATACCAAGATACTGTAGCTCAGTTTAAGACTCACCAATTCCTAAATGCCTCCTAGAAGCTAAGGGAACTTACAGAGGGGGCGGTCAGGATGGTGAGTGGACTAGAGACTATGTCTCAGAGGGATCATTTGAGGGACATGAAGATGTTTAACCTGGAAGAGAGATTTGACTGGTGACATGATATCTGTCTTCAAGTATTTCAAAGTTTGACATGGAAATGGGATTTGTCTTGCTTGGCTTGGCCCCAAAGAACAGAACAGCTATGATGGCCTGAAGAGGCAATTGTCCACATCCAAATGTGGTGTTGTCTTCCTTGGAACATGAAGGGTTTCCTGTTTCTGGAGGTCCTCCAGTGCCAGTTGGATGACCATGTGAGGGGATTCTTAGTTAGGAATGGGGCAGATCAGGAGGGTGGTTGTCCTGTTGTCATGAAGTACTACTGAAGGATCATCAGTATCTGTATCAGTCCTGACTTGCCAGTCCACAGTGATATTTCCCCCACTCTGAATTCCAAAAATGCTTAATTACAGAAACCACTTGTACTTCACACTGGGGGTCTTGATCATGTGCTAGCTTATTTCGGGAGGAAATCTGGTGTAGCGGACAAAGCACTGTACTTTGAGTCAAGAGATTTGGATCCTGATTTTGACATTAACACTTACTGGCTGTGAGATCTTGGACAAATCACTTCCTCTCATATTCCTCAGTTTCTTCCTCTGTGAAATGAGGAGCTTGGGCTAGATCAGGGCTCTTAATCTGGAGTAGTAAACTTGTTTTAAAAAATACCTTGATAGCTGTATTTCAATATGTCTGGTGACCCTTACAATCCCTCATGTATTTTATTTCATACATTAAAAATCATTCTTCTGAGAAGGAATCTATAGGCTTATCCAGACTGCTCAAAGGTTCGGTCCATGATACAAAATAAAAGTGAAGAACACTGGCATAGATGATATCTAAGCTTCCTTTCAGCTTTGACATTATAGAATTCAGTGCTCCACGTGTTTCACACGGGCTAGTCTTCTCTCCCTAAGACAAGCCTATTAGTTATTTAGGGCACTGTCTCATAAAGAAGCTTGACACAGAGAGATGGTATTTGTTAAATGTTTGCTGAATGAATGAATTAGTTTAGTCAGCCAAGTTAGGCAGCTCTGGTGCAGTCAGCCTAACCAATTCCCCACTGGCCCAGCAGCCCCTGGGGCAGGAGCAAGATGCTGATCTTGCCCCTAATGCAATTTGTCTTCATTTCCAGGCAGTAAGCCCGCTTCCCTTCCCCCAACCCTCTAGACTTGAGCCCTGGATTTCATAGACTTCAGACTAATCAGGTTATGGGAGGAAGTGGAAGTAATGAAATCAACACAGGAGTCTCATGAGTCCCCAGCATAGCTCTGCTAGCAGGGTCAGGAGCATGAGTCCCAAAGGGAACTTCTATGAAAGCTCTCCCCTCCCTTACCACATACACATATAGAGGCAGTTGTCAAGACTATTCTTTTGGGTGCTTCCTCCTTGAGGGAAGAGAATTCCTTCTATGATTGGCATCTGGCCGAGAAATGGCCCAGCTGGTAAAAGACATGGGGATCTGGCAATAGCATAGCCTAAGGACCCAGAGAATAATACCGTGGTAGAAACATCATGAGAGCAGCTGCTGAAAAACGTGTGCTCTGGTCCTGAGGCTGCCACTAACTTCACTGGGTGACTTTGAAAAGTTGCTTAACCTCTCTGATCCTGTTCCTCATCTATAAAAATTAAGAGCTTGGGTTCAGCGCCCTCCAAGCTCCCCTTCAGTTCTATGATTGGATCTACTGTGATCTTAGTCTAAGTTTAGCTTGGTGGCCAGGAGCCCAGATCATCTTTGGCAGGGGAATAAGAGAGGAAGCCAGGAATAATGGAAAAGGGCTGGAAAATTTGGTTCCTAAACCCAGCTCTTCGTGACTTTGAGTAAGTGACCTAGAAGACAGTGTCATCTAGTGAAAAGAGCACTGCTTCTGTAGTCAGGGGACAATAGTCATACCCCACCCTTGGAAATTCCTAACCAAGAGATCCCATAAGGTAAATCACTTAACCTCCTGGGCCTTAGTTTCCTCATCTGTAAAATGAGGGGTTTGACTAGATGGCCTCAAAAGTCTCTTCCAGTTTTTTGGTTTTTCAGTTTATCAATCCTGTCTGACTCTTCATGACCCTGTATATTGTTTTCTTGGCAAAGATACTGAAGTAGCGATCTGCCTTTTCCTTCTCCAGTGAATTAAGGCAAATAGAAGTAAGTGACTTACTTAGGGTCACACAGCTAGTGAGTGTCTGAGGCTGGATTTGAACTCAGGTATTCTTGACTCTAGGCCCAGTGCTCTAACCATTGAACCATCTAGCTGCCTCAGTCCAAGCTTTAGATGTATGATTTAGGATCTCAAATGAGTAATGATCCTTCTGAAGTACTTCATGATAACTAGACAACCAGCCGTCTGATCTGACCCATTCCTAACTAAGAATCCCCTCAAGTGATCATCCAACAATTGCCCAAGGACCTCCAGAGATGGGAAGCTCTTCACCTTCTGAGGAAGACAATACCACATTTGGATTCGGAAGACTGTCTCTTCAACTTCAGGCCATTGCAGCTAGTTCTGCTCTTTGGGGCCAAGTCAAGCAAGATAAATCCCATTCCCACAACAGACTTTCAAGTACTTGAAGATAAAATGGTGAGTTGTATTAAATA